ATGGGGGTGATGGCTGCGGAGTCCAGGGAAGAAGGGCCGATCCCTCTGCGGTTGGGGGGCGGTTCACGGTTCTGCGGCTCCTGCCTGGGGACATCAGCACAGGCTCTGCTCTGGGGCCTCTTCTGGATGGTTCCGCTGCCCTGGGCCCTTGCTTTTCCCAGTAGAGAGCTGGACACCGGGGGGCGCCTGCTCCCCGGCCTCCTTGGCAGAACTCAGAGGGTGACCCATAGGAGGCTTGGAGCCGCACCTGGTGCCCACGGAGCCCTGTGATATCTGGGCTGTTCCCTGCTGAAAGCTGGCACTGTCTTGGGGACACACATGACAGGCCTGGCTGGCGGGAGAGGGCAGACCCGCGGCCGGCACTGCCCGCACCAGGGGCCAGAAGGTGTGTCGCACGGGATGGGTGAGCAAGGAGAGCTGTGGGAGGTGGAGGGGGCTTTTGAAGGCACCGTCCTTCCTTTGGACATTCTCCTCAGGGACACAGGGAGCCATGGAAGGCTTTGGAGCAGAGGGCGATAAGGCGTAGCTGAGCATCGGGCCGTGGAGTGGGATGGACTGAAGGGGCCCCGCTGGGGCAGGGAGACCGGCGCGGAGGTGGCCCAGGGGTCCTGGTGGGAGACGGGGAGGCCTGAGTTAGGGCATAGCTAGGGATGAGAGGCCGGGCATGAGGACTCGGGGAGGACATGTCGCTGGGCTCACGGTGACATGCACCGAGCGAGCAGGCGAAGGGAGATGGAGGAGCACAAGCCACACCCCGCAGGGGATATTGGAGGAGGGTTTTGAAGGGTGTGTAGGAGTCGTCCAGGGTGGGGGCCACGAGGGAAGGAGGGCAGCTCAGAGCAGCGGGAGAGCCTGGGTGTCCGGGGACCGCGGTCACGGTAAAGTGGGGTTTGGAGGGTGAACTGTGGGGTCAGGAGTTGGAGACCGCGGCCAGCAGGCTGCGCAGCAGGAGAGAACTGAGCGTCCTGCCCTGCGTCAGCAAACCGCACCCACTGCGCGGCGGCGTGGGCAGAAATGTCCTCTCTCTCACTTTGGAGTCCGGGGTCTGAAGTCAGGGTGGAGAGGCCGTGCTGCCTTGAAGGCTCAGGAGGACCCCTGGGGCCTCTTCCAGGTGGGCCGCGCGGTGGCAGCCAAGTGACGCGGCCTCTGCCTGTCTCCACACGACTTTCTCTGGGTCCGTCCCCTCTTCTCAGAAGGACGCTTGCCAATGGATTTGGGGCCCGCTGGGCAACCCAGGATGACCTCATCTTGAGACCTCATCGTAATCACATCTGCAAAGACCTGTTTTCCAAGTAAGATCACATTCACAGGCTCCAGGGGGACATATCTTTCCGAGGCTGTCACTATTCAGCCTAGTACACAATCCCAAGCCAGCGCCTGCCCGCGTGGAGAGTTCCCGGTGGTCCTCCAGGACACAGTCCCTCCTGTGCTCCTCCAGGGCAGAGAGGCCTGGAGCTTGTGTGCAGAAGCCATCCTCCCCGTCCGAGGCTGGGACCTGGCTGCACCCATGGGCTGAGGGCGCCACCGTGTGTCTGTCTTGGAGCAGTGAGAAGGAGGCTCTGGCCAAGGCCCTGCCACAGCTCCTGCTCGGGACACATCAGTTCTCCTACTCATGGTCACAGGATGAAGGAGTTCTTGCCTTCTTTTTCAGAAAAGGAGACTGAGGGTCAGAGAAGCGATTTGCCAAGTTCACACAGCCTGCAGCTGCCATGCGACCCCAAAGCCACATCCCCCTACCCACAAGCAAGAATCAGACGTGCCCTCAGGGATGGTGTGAACCTGTAGATTCCAGCTGCTATGTGACTTCTCGGGGTCTCTTCCTCATCAGTAGGCCAGGAAGGGTGCAGATGAGCGCCCCGAGGTGGCCATGAGACAGGCCTGGAGCACTCAGAGGTCGGCGGCTGAGGCACCCTGTGGGTCTTGCTGCTCCTGAGAATTTTCCAAACACTGGGCTTCGTTTTAGAATTTTTTGGTGTTTATTGTCTTTCTCTAAACATTTTCATATGTGAGTAAACTACTTAAAAATTAGAAAAATGTTCTTCAAATATGGGTCAAAACTTTATGTGGGCCTCCACTTCTCGAAAAGCAATGAAAGGAACCAGGCCAGGTGGTGCACACCTGTCATCCCAGCGGCTCGGGAGGCTGAGGCAGGAGGATCGTGAGTTCAAAGCCAGCCTCAGCAAAATCAAGGTGCTAAGCAACTCAGTGAGACCCTGACTCTGAGTAAAATACAAAATAGGGCTGGGGGTGTGGCTCAGTGGTCGGGTGCCCCTGGGTTCAACCCCTGCTAGCAAAAAAAAAAAAAAAAGCAATGAAAGGCATGTTTATGGCAGATTTTCACATTCTTCCATTCTTCCAGGGATGGCCTGCATGCATGTTGTGTGTGTGTGTGTGTGCACGTGTGGACTGTATATGTGTGTCCTACACACCTCTGTTCTACGTCCCCCTCACCAGCCTTTGGATTAATCGGTTGGTACTAGGAATTGAACCCAGGGGTGCTCTACCACTGAGTCACATCCCCAGCCCTTTTTATTTTTGTTTTGAGACAGGGCCTCGCTAAGTTGCTGAGGCTAGCACTTGTGATCCTCCTGCCTCAGCCTCCAGAGTTGGGGGATCATAGGTGTGTGGTCACCGTGTCCAGCTTCCATGTATATTTTAGAATCAACTTATTGATTTCAGGAGGAAAAAAATTGCTGGAATTTTGAGGGAGTTGCATTAAATCTATAATTTGAGAAGAACTGGCACGTTTACCTCTTGAGTCTTTTAGTTCATGAACACTACATAGCCCTGGATTTTAGGTCTTTTTTTTTTTTTTTTTTTTTGTGGTGCTGGGGACTGAACCCAGGGCCTTGTGCATGCGAGGCCAGCGCTCTACCCACTGAGCCATATCCCCAGCCCCTTGATTTTAGATCTTATTTAATTTCGCACAATTGATGTTTAAACTCGACATACGACTCACACACCGTGAAACCCACCTGTTCATAGTGTACAGTTTCGCAGGTTCTTAGTGTAGTCCCAAGCTGTGCCATCGTCACCATGATCTAATCTAATTTTTTTTTTGCCCCAAAGGAAACCTTACACAGTCACAGTTGTCCCCCGCGCCCCTTCCCTGTCCCTTGGCAACCGGTGATCACTTCTGTCTCTGTGCGGGACCCCCCCGTGGTGGACCCCACACTCGGTGGCCTCTGGGTCGGGTCAGCCTCTCTCCTTGGCCTGCTGTGTCCGGGGTTCCTGGGGGGCAGGCGTCAGGACGTCTTTCCTTTCCTTGGCTGGACAGCGGGGCGTGGCCCGCACCCTCCGTGGTCGCGGGGTACCCGTAGGTCTCCCTTGGGGGGAAGCTGCCCTCTCTCTTCCAAAGGAGCTGCGCCTTGGGTTCCCACCCCAGGGTCAGCACTGTCCCTCACCCCCTGGCCAGCCTTGTTGTACCTTTTGGTCTGGGGATCGGTCCTGGTGGGTGTGGAGGCATCTCACTGTGGTTTGGATTCTCGTTTCCTGATGACTAAGGCATGCTAAGGTTCTCTTTGGTGTTGAGGTCTGGCACACCTTTTGTTTGACTTATGCTTAGGAAGTTGTCGTTGTTGTTGTTATTATTATTATTCCTTTCCTTTTCAGTACTGGGGATTGAACCCGGGGGCGCTATATCACTGAGCCCATCCCCAGCTTTCTCCCTTTCTTTATTCTGAGTCAGGGTCTCCTAAGTGGCTTGGGCCTCCCTGAATTTCTGACGCTGGCCTTGAACTTGCGATCTTCCTGCCTCGGCCTCCCGAGGTGCTGAGGATGACAGGCAGGAGGCTCTGAACCTGGTGGAAGTTGATGGTTTTTCTGATGCTCTTATAAATGGTTTTGTCGTAAACTTGGGCTTCAGTTTTTGGAGTCGTTTTGGGGTTCACAGTATCAGGGAGCAGGAAGCCCAGAGATGGCTCAGACTGCCCTTCCTGGGCCGTGATGCACAGCTTCCTGGGACACCCGTCTGATGGAGCGCTTGGGACCCGGGAACCCAGGGACCCGTGGTTGCCCCAAGAGGCTGGTCTTTTATGTTAGGCTTCACCCCTGGGGTGCGGGCTGCGGGTTTTGGTAAACATGTCATGGCCTGTACCCAACATGGGGTCACCTCCTAAAAACCCTCTGTGCTCACCTCCTCTCCTCCTCCCCAAAGCCCCCCGCCGCCCCGGATCTTTCTACTGTCTCTAGCTCTGCCTTTTCCAGAACCCCACAGCCTGGGATCACGCGGCCTGCAGCGTGTCCTCGGCTTCTTTCCCTTAGCAAAGTGCATTCAAGTTTCCTCCCGTTCCTTCCACGAGAGTTCACCCCCACCCAACCCTGTCCACGGCAGGACGTACAGCCGTTTCCAAGTTCTGGCAACTATGAAGGAGGCTGCGGTTAACACGGGCACACAGGTGTTTGGGTGGACACGAGTTTTCCACTTACTTGGGTAAATACCGGGGACCATGATTGCAAGATCATATGGGAAAAGTATGTTTATTTTTTAATCTTTTTTATTTTTAGTACCAAGGATTGAGCTCAGGGGCACTCCACCACTGAGCCACATCCCAGCCCTATTTTGTATTTTATTTAGAGACAGGAGGGTCTCACTGAGTTGCTTAGAGCCTCGCTTTTGCTGAGGCTGGCTTTGCACTCGCGATCCTCCTGCCTCAGCCTCCCAAGCTCCTGGGAACACAGGCGTCCACTACCACCTCCAGCCTTCAGCTGTTCAGGTCTAATTCTAATTGCAGAGGGGACAGTGTGCGCCGAGTCCTTCCCACGGCTTCTCTAATCTTGAGGTCATTTAGTTCAGTCACCTCTTAGGTGGCTGCTTACGATCATCAAATAGGTTCTTCCATGAAAATCTGCTATAAGGGCTGGGATGTGGCTCAGCGGTAGCGCACTCGCCTGGCATGCGCGGGGCGCTGGGTCCGATCCTCAGCACCACATACAAATAAAATAAAGATGTTGTGTCCACCAAAAACTAAAAAATAAATATTAAAAAAGAAAAGCTCATATCAGCTTTATAGCATTGCTTTTAATTGAATGCTACAAAATCGCCCCGTAGGATATAGAGATATCAAGTAAACAAAATCAGATAAAACCCCAGGCTCCCTGCTGTCCCCGTATTTGGTTTTGTTCCACCTCTCCTTTGATCTGTGTTCACAGTGGTGTGCTTCTCAGCAAGATTTCATTAGAAAACCTGGGTTCACTTCCAATAGATTGGCTGAGCTTAAAAATACCCGAATCCTCAAGTATCACCGAAGATGGGACTGGAACTCATGCTGCTGGTGCCTGCTGCTGGCTGCCACCAATCACATGAAATCACGGGGTGCAAGGATGTCGCAAGGCTGGTGGGCAGATCTCCTGGAGCGGAGCCTGTACCTACACTATGACTAAGCCGTCTGGATGCTCCAGGAGGTTTAGCCAACAGCAAGGCTTATCTGTGTTTGCCAGAGGAAACGAACATGAATGTTAATAGTAGCACTATTTTTTAGAGCCCCCAAGCAGGAACCACCAAAATGCCCACTGAACAGTATATTCACTCAGAGGAATACTATACAGCAACGAAAATGACCCATCACCAAAAAGATGCACCTACGTGAAAGAGTTTCATTGACTGAAGATGGCAAATGAAATATATCAGACACAAAATAGCATACCCTGGCTCGGTGCAGTGGAGCACACCTGTAATCCCAGAGGCTGGGGAGGTCGAGACAGGAGGATTGTGAGTTCGAAGCCAGCCTCAGCAACTCAGTGAGACCTGGTCTCTAAATAAAACACAAAATAGGACTGGGGATGTGGCTCAGTGGTCCAGTGCCCCTGAGTTCAATCCCCAGTACCAAAAAAAAAAAAAAAATAGCATACCCTGTAGGATTCTGTTTATAGGAAGACTGAAACTAGGTGAAATTAATCCCTGACAGTTCAGGACGGTGGCCCCAGGGGGAGTCTTGACTGGGAGAGGTTGTGAGGGAGGCTGTTGGAGTGCGGGGATAGTTCGAATCTTCACCTGGGTGGTGGCCACCAGGATGTGCACAGAAAAAAAAATCCACCGAGTTACAGTCTGTACCTTCCTGTGTTTTACACTTAAATAAAAAGGAAAAAAAATATATTGTGAGGTGCAAGGCCATCTCCTCACTCACCTACCCAGAGCCCTGCAGATCCAATCCCCTGTGCCCTGGCAGACGGGCTCCATGGATGGCACCTTTTAAAAAAACTTCCTTACAGTCCTGGGGTTGACCCCTGGGGTGCTCTACCACTGAGATTCATTCCAGCCCTTTCTATTTTTTATTTTGAGATGGGTCTTGCTCAGTGGCTGAGGCTGGCCTTGGATTTGCGATCCTCCTGCCTCAGCCTCCAGAGCAGCTGGCACTATGGACACGGCTGACACCTAGATCCAGCCCAGCCACCTGCAGTGACTGGATGCATTTCCTAAAACTTCCCGGCCCGCATGCGCTCTTGCAGGACTTTGCCACTCCTGCATCCAGAGGACGGCCTTCTTTCCGGTCTGCCCCTTTCCCGGAGCCTGGGTGGGCTTGTGACTCTTTTGACCAATATAACAGAAGTGACACTGGCTGGCTTCCAAGGCCAGATCATAAAAGGCAAGGCTTCCTCCGACTCTTTGAAACCACCATGTGGAAGCTGGCTGTCCCGATGCCCCCAGGCAAGTTCAGATCCTCACAGTGGAAACCAGAGACTGAGGAGCCCCAGCTGTCTCCACTGACACTCCCTGAGCCTGGCTGGGCTGTCCCCCAGCCTCCCACCCAGCGCACATCCCTGAGCCACACAGAGGCCCCTGGCTGGTCTCGACACTCTCTTTGGGTGGATCCCCCTGAAGAAGCCACACAGAAGCGGAACACCTGGCACCTCCTTCCCCAGCGCCCTCTCGACTCCACCCAGGCCGCAACCCCTGGGTATTCCTAGTTCCCTGTAGCAGACATGTGCTCCCCTGTCAGGGGTCAGGGATCTGTTCACTGCTCCAGACCCGGCTTCCCCACGCCTCTCCCAGGAAGCCCTCCACTCCACAACCAGACCAGGTTCAAATCCCAGGCCCCCACTTCCCAGTGGCTGCCTTTGGGCAAGTGACCTGACTTTGAGCCTCAGTTTCCTCATGTATAAAGTCTGGGAAGTAGTAGTGGGCTCTTGAACAGGTCTGGGTTGAGACTTCACAGTATTAATCTAGGGAAAGTACTCAAAACAGCAGGTGCACGCCTGTAATGCCAGGGGCTCAGGAGGCTGAGGCAGGAGGATGGCAAATTCGAGGCCAGCCTCAGCAACTTAGCGAGGCCTTGTCTCAAAATAAAAAATAAAAAGGGCTAAGGGTGTAACTCAGTGGTAGGCATCTGCTCAGCATGAGTGAACCCCTGGGTTCTACCCCCAGTGCTCCAAAAACAAACAAAAAAGAACCGAGACATTTGATGAAAGGGCTGAGGAGAAAGCAGGGTGGAGACTGAGTAGCCGGGCACCGTCCTTCCTCCCACAGGGGAGCGGGGACCCAGGTGCAGAGATCCCGAGAGTGTGAGCAGCCTCTGATGAGAAAGAGGAGGAAAAACATTCCAGACAGGGGAGCGGGGACAGGTCAGAGTCCAGGCGGGCTGGCCAGGGCCAGGAGGTGCAGGAGGTTGGGGGCAGAGCTGCCACATATGGCTGCTGGTGGTCCCAGCAGGCAGGGTCCCGGGATCACAGCAGCCTGTACAGCCAGCCCCTCCCATCCCCGGGTTCCACATCCAGGGACCTCAGGTTGAAAACAGTCAGGAAAAAAAGTTCACATTAAAAACTCCAAATGCTGGGGCTGTGGCTCCGGGTAGAGCACGGCCTAGCCTTCCGGAGGCTCTGGGTTCAATTCCCACCACGACGGGGAAAACTGCAGCAATGGAACACTCCCTGAGCAGAGCTGAACTGTCCTCCAGCCTCCCACTCAGGAGGCTGAGTCAAGTCATACAAATTTAAAAATGATAGAGAATAGCAATGGTTGATTTTATCAGGTATTATAAGTAATCTAGAGATGAGTTGGGGTATCTAGAAGGCTGTGTGCGGGCCATATGCAAATATCATGTAGCGTTATGTAGGAGTTTGGAACCTCAGAGGATTTGGGGACCTGAGCAGGAGGCTGTTCTGGGCGCCGACTGTTGCGGGGCACCGAACTGGGCTCCCCGTGTGAGACAGCACATGAGGTCCCCAGGACCGCCCGATCCTCCCCACGTACAGATGAGGAGACTCAGGCCCAGAGACGGGTGTGAAAGCAGCACCCGCACCCCTGTCCCCACGTCACACTGTGGCTCATGTCACTCAGGTCACTCCGGTATCACAAGTGGGGAAAACGGGGCCGAAGAAGGTGCCTGTGCTCCCCCCTCCCCCCAGTCCAGTGACAATGAGGTCCTGGCGGTGGCCGACGAGGACTTGGCAGCTCTGACCCCGCCCTGCCTGAGCCTCGGCCTGTCCCTTGTCCCTGGAATAGTACAGGTGCCCCGAGGGTGGCGTGAGAAGGCCTGAGCTCAGGGCCAGGGCGCCCGCCGTCTCACGCAAGCCCGGGTTCCCTCGCGGACCGGGGCCACCAGTCAGCAGCCGCGGGCGGCGCCGCCCACTCACCTGCGCCCCTCCCGGGGGCGGGGCTCTGAGTCACGGCGACCCGGGGCCAGCGGCCGTCGGCGCGGACCTGCAAGTTACAGCAAGCGACGACTCCCTTCGGGAGCCGAGGGTGACATTTCCGGGACTTCTTTGCCGGCCGCTCCTTCTGCCCGACCCCCGCCCGCTGTGCCCGCTGTGCCGGTTCCCCGGTGGCACAGCCGATGTCCCTGTGCCGAGCCCAGGGCTGCTTCCTCTTCTGCTGCAAGAAACATAACGGGAAGCCGTGGTGGGCGGGCCATTTCCTCAGGGCAACCTCTGGGTCCATTCATTCGGGTCCGCAGGTCACCAAACGGGGCTGGGCACGGACCCTGGGCAGAGAACTTGCTGGCAGGTGGGGGAGGAGCGCAACACCACAGGGACGTCTACAGGGTCCTCAGGCACCAGCCCTGTGACCTGCCCCACCCCAGGTCATCTGACCGATGGGATGAAAGGAGGACCTACCTGGGGGGTCTGATCAGAAGACTGAAGGCCTGACCCTGGAAGATGTGTCTACAGGGCAGTCCCACAGTGATAAGGTCTGGCCTTGTCACTAGCATGGCCTCATTCTGAGCACTTTCCATGTAGTCACTCATTTCACCAGACACCACCTTACTGTCTCCCTTCAGTCTCCCCCAGGGTCACAACCTCACTGAAGTGGCAGGGCTGAGATTTGAACCCAGATTGGGTGACCTCTTGGCTGGCGGGCAGCGGAGGAAGACAGGGCAGCCCTGGGGGCCCCAGTGACTCAGCGGCAGGTCCCCCTGGCCCGCCCTCTCCTGCTGACTCAGCCTGGATGACTCCCTGGGCTTTTCTCTGGAATTTGGGGCCCTAGGCAGGGTTCCCAGGCAGCCACCTCCTCCAGCACCCCCTCTGTGGAGATGGTGGCTGGTGGCCCAGCCTCAGGGAGGGATGGCCAGGCCAAGAAGCCCAGCTTTAGCTTCCCCTGTGTCCTCCGAGCCTGCCCCAGCCCCTGGCCCCATGCCCTGCCAAGGCCAGGTGGGCACAGGTCTCACAGTCACCATCTCCAGTCCCCTTGCCAAGGCTGCTGGGCGTGGCCAAAGGGGGAAGAGAAGGTGAGGACAGGGCCATCTCACTCTCTGGCCCCTGCTGGAGTCCCCAGCTCTCTGGGAGATGTAATCCCCTGATGCTGGAGCGTGGCTGTGGCTTCTCTGTTTCCTGGTCCCCTGCTGTCTCCACCCGGGGGAGCCCACAGCTCACCTGGGCCACTGTCATCTCAAAAGGTGGGAAAGACTCTTCTAGCTGGGACCCTGGGACTGTGCACAGTAGGCTCGTGGTTCCTGCTTTGTCCCCTGACTTCATGGAGGAGGTCCCAGGAGGAGCCTCCCTGCACAGAAGTGCCCTGGGGGACACAGGGCAGGGAATGGGGAGGGGGAGAGACGACGCTGGGTGAATTCAACTGAGGATGCACATTTAGCAACCACCTTGCTCAGGCTGGGCCCGGTCCCTTCCCCACAGTGGTAGAGACCTTGAGGAACTGACCCAAGCCACAGCTTGTGTTGTCCTGAGGGTTGAACCCGGCCTCTGGTCAGGGGTGTTTTGCAGTCTGCCAATCTCCTGCTAGACAATGCTGTGTGTCAAGTTCTCTGCTGGCATCCACACCACCAGGTCCTACTCGTGGTGACAATGTGGCCACCCAAGGTGTCATCAGTCTGGGAGCTGGGGAGGGGAGACAGGTTCACCAAGGACCCACACTCGTAGACCAGACGAATGAAGACCCACATTCCTGGAATGTAATCTGAGGTTGCCAAAGAAGGGGAAGTTTCTGGGGTCAGGTGCACCCTTGAAGGAAAGGGTCCCTGTGTCTGTGGATGTCGTGAGTGGTTTGTGGACGACGGTAATATACGATATGACACCAGGCATATGCGGTAATCCCAGCTATTCAGAAAGTCAAGGCCCTGGGCCACTGAGCAAACCATGTCTCAGAATTAAAAAAAGGGGATGTAGGTCAGTGGTAGAGCCCCTCTGGTTTCAGTCCTGAGTGCCACAAACAAAGTAGAACAAAATGATATTACTGCTAACTAATGTGAAGGTCAATGTCATGATGAGGACCTGCAGGTTTCTGCTCTGTCCCCTACTGGATCCTACTCCAACCGCTCCTCCTCCTCCTCCTCCTCCTCCTCCTCCTCCTCAGGGTTCTTGGAACATCCCAGCCCAGTCCTGCTAACCAGAAAGGCTCTGTTCCTGGGGTAGAAGTGGAGGTTCCATTGGTCCAAGACCTGAATAATCAAAGAAGCCCCCTCCCCATGCCAAGAGCAAGGGACAGTGACATAGCACAGATGGGGAAATTCAGAGGGGAGAGGGTAGGGCAGTCGGCAGGTCTGAGGTAGTTCGCATTTATTCTAGCTTGGTGGGAAATCTTTGGGAGGTTTTAAGTTCGAGGGAAGCTTTTGGTTTTTAAAGCCACCTCTCAGCTAGGAACATGGGTGCACACCTGCAGTGCCAGCTACTCAGAGGCTGAGGCAGGAGGGTTACCTGAGCCGGGAGCTCAAGACCAGCCTGGGCAACACAGTGAGGCCCTGTTGCTAACCCCTGCAAAAAAAACAGAAATGATCTCTCTGTAGCTCAGAGCCTGGCAGGAGGAGATCTGGGGCGGGACCAGAGGTGGTGAGACAGGGGGACTTTGAGATGAGGGGACAGGCCTCACCATGGGCTGGGAAGAGGACTGAGGTTCTTGTACCCATTTCACAGATGGAGGAACTTCAGCTCAGACGCACCACGCCTGCCCGTGTTGGGCTATTATGCCACCGCACAGACGTGGAAACTCAGAGGGGAAGGGATTTGCCAAGGACATGTGGCAAAGACCAAATGTAGGTCTCCAGGGCACTGTCTCTGCTCCTAGGCCATTTTCCTCTCTAGGTGTGGCTGGGATTACTCACCACTGGCCTTGTGCAGCTGGGGAAATGGAGGACCAGGGATGAACACCACTCCTGGCCGGGAGCCTGGGCGAGAATCCAGGGCCCCTGGCGGGAGGTCTAGAGTCTGTGTCCTGCCGCAGCCCTGCTTTCCGGGCATGGCTAACGGGGGAGATGGACCCAGCAGAACCCACGAGAAAACGATACCGAAGGTGATGTTTAGCCACCTGTTGGGGTCAGTGTTATGACCCCCAGGGACTCCAGACAGAATCAGAGGCTCTGCTGTCCTAGGGAGCGGTCGCTGCCTGCTGCCTGGCTCAGTGCCCACAGAGGGCAAGTGCGTGTGTCTGCACGTGACCCTGTGTGTGTGTGTGTGTAACTGTGCGTGGACGTGTGAGTGGTGCCCCAGCAACTTTGCAACATTTCCAGGAGTGCCAGGTACCCACGGGCACCCAGCCACCTCGTGTCCCCTCACTTCTCTGCAGACATGCTGATCTCTGTGCCTAATCTCTGGACCCTGTTTAGGTTTCTTGATGAGAAAATAATTAACCACAGACTCATTTTCCAAGGCTTCCACCCCGTTCTCCTGGCCAAGATAAAAATACTCACAATGAACAGGGCTGCTGGTGGGAGGGGCCGTGTGTGGGTGGATGGCCAGGGAGAGGGAAGGCTGACCTGGAGGGAGGCCTGGCCTGAGCAGGGACACAGCGCTGGGGTGGAGAGAGGTCAGGGGCTGGGCTCTGACCTCATCCTCTGTTGCTTCACTGTGTGAATTTGGACAGGTTCCTTGCCCTTTCTGGGCTTCTGTTTCCTCTTGTGTTAATGGATGGGTTGGCACTAGAATTTTCCCAAGCCTTTCTTCTGCATGGAAACAGGGACATCAAAAATGAAAACAAGCAAACAAGGGGAAGAAAATCTGGGGTCAGTCAAGGTTGGGAAAGGCCACTGGGATGTGTGTTTTCTGATTTCTTAATGGCAGGACTTTTCAGAGCCTTTATTGATTGAAAACTTTTGTGTCCTTGGATGAGTAATGCATGCACCCAGGCAGCCAGGTCAGAAGTATGGAGGGGGTTTGGGGACTCACAGGTCTTTCCACGCCCCCTCCGGCCCTCCCTTTCAGTAGGCACATTGGAAGTTTCCAGTGCATACAAAGACAGTATCACACATACCAGTAAGTGAGAGACTCAGACCTTATCCTGCCAAGCCACCACCAGTTCCCAAAGGGGGAGGAGCTTAGATGTAGCTATTTCTCAAACTTACTTGACTTTAACCACAGACACTCCCCCCAAGCCTCTCTGGGATCAGCATCAGGGGCAACCCCTTTGAAAGTGTGGACCCTGGTCCCCATGTGCCATGGGACTTCACACAGGATGGAGATAGTATCTGACTCCCATATTTGACAAGATGTCCATGACCTCTGCCCTCTGCCCACCCAGGGACTGTCCTGAGCTTGAGGGAAGGTGCCAGAGCTGGCAGTCTATTTGGGGACCCAGAGGTCTGGGAAGGCCAAACTTGCACAGGTCACTGGCAGGCAAGAGGCTGGGCTGATGGAAATCAGTGCTTCCAGACAGTGCTCCCCAGACGGAGGGTCCTTGTGGCCCACAGCTGATCAGGGCCATAGAAGTTCTAGAATCCGGGACGTTGTAGGGGACCTTCTGAAGTCCGGCCCCAAACTTGAAGCTCATTTCCCTGAGGTGCATGGAACTGTGACCAGGTGTGTGGCATATGCACAGGGTTGGTGTGATGTGTAGGTTCTGTGGGGACCATTGTGGTGGCGTGTGAGCTGTGAGTGAGGTAGAAGCTGAGTCCACTGCGTGTTGGTGTGACACTGAGCCGCTTGGCGTGTCGCTGTGCCCGGCTATATGAGCCCCACACTTTAAGCTCCCGTGAGCTCTGTGACATGTGCGCCGGGTGGTGTGGCACCGCGTGTGCGGCCAGCGCAGCGCTAGCATCGTCCAGCGCAGGTTGCGCCTGCGGCTGCAGCAAACGGCCCGCGCGGCGTGGGCGTGGGCAGCGGGCGCGGTGGCCCTGGGAAGGTGTGTCGCGGCGCGCAGGAGGGTGTGAGCCTGAGCGTCGGTCCCCGCCCCGCGGGAGGCCGGGCAGGTGTGGGCGGGCCGCCGGGACCCCGCCGCGCCGGCCGGGAGAGCGGGCGGGAAACAGGAAGCGGGGGAGGCGGGCCGGACGGCGGGAGGGCGGACGTGCGGGTGGCCGGCGGCGGACGCTGGCGGCGGCGGGCGGCGATGTGGGGCGGCCCGGGCGGCCGCGGGGACGGGGGCGGAGCCGGGGTCGCCGAGGGCGCCGCCCCCTTGCGCCGGCGGAGCCGCCGCCCGAGCGCGGGGCCGGGAGCGCGAGGCCGCGGCGCGCGGGGTGAGTCCGGCGCGGGGCGCACAGCGGCCGGCGCGCGCGGGGCGGCTCGGGCGGCGCCCCGGGGTGGGATCCGGGCGCCCTGCCGATCCCCCGCGCCTCTCGCCCGCAGACCCCGAGGACGCGGCCATGCCCGGCCCGGCCGAGGCGGGGGAGGCCGAGGAGGAGCCCGCGGCCGGCTCGGGGTCCGAGGCGGAGGAGGACGCTCTGTGGGAGCGGATCGAAGGCGTCCGGCACCGGCTGACGCGCGCCCTGAACCCGGCCAAGCTCACGCCGTATCTGCGCCAGTGCCGGGTCATCGACGAGCAGGACGAGGAAGAGGTGCTGAGCACCTACCGCTTCCCGTGCCGCGTCAACCGCACCGGTGAGCTGCGGGGTCGGCGCCCCGCGCGCGGCCGGGCCTCCCCGGGCGGGACGGATCCCTGAGTGCAGCGCATGGAGACCTGGGGCGCCGGGCCGGGGCTCTGCTTCCCTGGGCTGCAGTCTCCGCGTCCGTGGAGTGGGCTGCTTGGGGCGCCCACCTCCCATCTCCTCCGAGCCACTCTTCTTGCCCGGTGGGTCGCGGGGCCCACTCCGCCAGGGGTCTGCCTACCTTGGGGTTCCTCCTCACTTCCCGAACCCACATTAGAGGAGAGGCTTGGATGTGGTTGCTGGTGCCCGCTAGACCTGGGACCTCCTGGTTACAGCTGGTGGCTTTGGCATCTCTCCTGTGCCTTTTGGCCTTCTTGTTTCCCCCTGCCCCCTCCCGTGTGCCACGTGCTCCTTGGAGAGTTGTTTTTCCTCAAGGGCTCAAGACCCATCTCGGTTTTATGGGGGTCCTCCCTCCCAGGGTGTCTTTGAACTACAGCTGGCAAAGGCACTGGAGTCCCACCGTGGAATTCTGGCTCTGGCTAAGGGCAGAAGTACTCTGCTTTGGGGGACGGAGGGGTTTCTCTGGGCCATTGCTGACCGGCATCTGTCTATGGGTGGGGGTGGGGCGGGGGTGTTGGCCGCTGCTCCACAGGTGCCATTGTGGAGGGGGTTTCTGGCTCTCCTGGCCTGGCAGACGGCTCTCCTCCCTGATCTGTTGGGACAGGCCCCTGTGAGTGTGTCATCAGCTCAGAAATCTGGGGAACGTGGGCCCTGAAGCATGGTGGGGAAGAAGCAGCCCGTGGGGGCTGCCCTCATCCTGACCCCTGGGTGCACCCCACAGGGCGACTCATGGACATCTTGCGCTGCCGGGGCAAGAGGGGCTATGAGGCCTTCCTGGAAGCACTGGAGTTCTACTATCCGGAGCACTTCAGGCTGCTAACGGGCCGGGAACCCGCCCAGCGCTGCTCCATGATCCTTGGTGAGTGGATCTGACCGAGCCTCTGCACCACAGGGAGGCACCCTGATATTCCTCTTGGTCAGATAGGGAAACTGAGGCACAGGCTGACGTGGTTTTCCCAGGGGCCCGTGGCTGGCTGAGGGTGGGGCTCGGTTTCTTCTCCAGTTAGTCCGAGTTCAGAGCCCACCTGTGTAGCCTAACCTCACTCTGCCCAGTATTGTTTTCAGACTTGATTGGCCGGCCTACATGGGCTTATAGTTTTGTATGTAAAGAATTTAGAGGCTCCAGGTGATGTCAGTAAAAAGAGAAGCTAGGTCTTTCCTCCTTCCTCCAGCTCTGTTCTGCAGGTGGCACTTTTGTGAGTTCCCCTGTCTTAGCGTTCACACACACGCACACACTGGGGTGGCATCTGTTGTCCAGTATCTGGCTGTTTTTCAGAATGGCTTGTTTCTGTGATTTTTCCATGTCTGTTACCCTTGTTTTAAGTAGATGCGTAATGTTCATTAGTGAACTTGTCACTTAGTGCATGTGACCCATCCCATGTTGATGGACATCTAGTTCTTTTTTCCAGTTTTGTTGTGGGGTGCTGAGAACACCTTGTGTGTGCATCTTTGTGCAATTCTCACTTTCTAAACTGGGGAGAGTTTCTGAAATAGACTTTCTCAAGGAGTATGTATATTTTAAATGTTATGTCAGGCAATGATGGACACCATAGTAGTATTTACCTTATAGAGTTGACATAGGTGTATATTTAGTGCAAAAAAATGAAGTCACCAAATATTAGTGGCAGTCGATCTTTTCTCCCTGTGTTTGTTGGCCACTTTTATTTTGGGACATGCTTATGGATAGTTTTTGCCCATATTTTTATTCAGTTGTTTGCTTTTTTCTTATTGATTTGTAGGAACTCTTTATATATAACAACCGAGTCATTTGTTGTATATGTTATATTTTAATTTGATTTTCTTTTAACATGGTTATATCTTTCATTTTTTCAGAGATTTAAAGATTTTTATGTGAATTTGTCTGTTTTCTTTTGTAACGTTTGGATTTTTGTGTCTTGTTTAGGATATTTTTTTTTCCAAATACTTTTTCTAGTAGATGGACACAATGCCTTTATTTAATTAATTAATTTATTTGGGTGCTGGGGAGTGAACCCAGGGCCTTGTGCATGCGAGACCAGCACTCTACCCACTGAGCTAGAGCCCTAGCCCCTTGTGTTTTGTTTAGGAAGGTCTTCTCTATCCTCAAATTACAAAGATATATTCCAGGATCTCTCTCTATTCGTGTTATCGCTTGTTTTTTTTCTGTGTAATCTGCTGTCCCCCCCTGAGTGTCCTGTCTCCTGTCCTGGCAGATGAGGAAGGACCCGAGGGCCTGACCCAGTTCCTGATGACGGAGGTGCGGAGGCTGCGGGAAGCTCGCAAGAGCCAGCTGCAGCGGGAGCAGCAGCTGCAGGCTCGGGGCCGGGCGCTGGAGGAGGAGCGGGCCGGCTTGGAACAGCGGCTGCGGGAGCAGCAGCAGACCCAGGAGCGCTGCCAGCGGCTGCGGGAGGACTGGGAGGCGGGCAGCCTGGAGCTGCTGCGGCTCAAGGACGAGAACTACATGATCGCCATGCGCCTGGCCCAGCTCAGCGAGGAGAAGAACTCAGCCGTGCTGCGCAGCCGCGACCTGCAGCTGGCGGTAGGTGGTGGGGCCGGGGCTGGGGCAGGTGCGGAGGGGTGACCTTTGTGGAACACGTGGCACCCGGGAAGGCAGCCTGCGTCCCTGAGCCGCCCTGGGCCTGCTGTAACCCCGTGTTCTTGCTTCGTTGTTCAAACGGTGGGTCCAGCTCCAATACGTTCTGCCTGGGTGGCATCTAGTGGGTAGAGGCCTTCAAACATCCTCCGTGCACAGGACAGCCTCCATGACCAGAAAGTACCTCGCCCCCATGTGCACAGTGCCGGGGGGAGAGACCTCGGGTTGTGGGGACTCAGCGACTGTGAGCCTGGGGATTTCAGGTGCTAGGCCTGGTAGAGACAGCGCTGAAAATCTGCTGGCTGGAGCCACGCCTGTTGCGATGATCGAGTGCCGTCGACGTGCCACGCAGTTACACGCGTCATGTCATCTAATCCTCCCCAGAGCACCGTGCACCAGGTTCCTTGCTAAACAGACGCTCAGGCTCAGACTGTGCAGGGATCGCTCCTGGTCTCCCGGCCAGGAGGCATGCGGCCTGCTTTTGAACTGGGGCCACCTGGCAGTGGTGCTGGCTTCCTTCCCAGGATGCTGTTCTGCCTGCTCCCTGTCCAGTGAAACCTCACCTAATCCTCTCCAGCAGTGCCAGGGGGCCTCCTGCAGGCCCCGAAACCGAGCTCAATTTTGTGACTTCTTATGGGGTCTTAGCAGGGAACAATACGAGTGTCAGCCGCCACGGGGAGTTGTCCAAAGGACAAATGAGCTAATGCCAGGGCCAGCAGCACACAGTAGGCTGTTTCCTGGAGTGCTGCGTGGGACTCCACAGCGCGATCTTTTTCTCTCCCCACCACTGCTGGGGGTGGAGCCTCATGCATGCTAGGCCAGCGTCTGCATCCGCAGCCCCTTTCGTTTTTATTTTGAGATGGGGTTTAGCTAAGTTGCTGAGACTGGTCTTGAACCCGTGATCCTCCTGCCTCACCCTCCTGAGTGGCTGGGGTGACAGGCCCCCAGTGGTTGTTGCTGGGGGTGGTGATTCCTGTGGATGAATGAAGGTTGGTGTGTGGGGGGCACTGGGTGCTCGGTGCTTGCTGGGTGGGTTGAGGTTTGGAAAGGGGAGTCCTGATCAGAGTGTTGAGGTTACACGTCGGAGGGTCCAGGCAGCTGGTCCTACTTGAGGGTGTCGGTGCCTAGTTTGCTATTGTGAGATGATGGTGAGGACTCTGCTTGGTGCTTGGCATGAGGGGGAGGCTTTCTGAAGGGTGGTGGGCAGGGCCACCATGTGTGTCCCAGACCTGGCTCTGCCACTAATGAACAGTTTGGTCTGGGTGAGGTTTCCCGCCCCAGGACTCAGTTTACCCATCCTCAGCAAGAGGTCACAGATGAGGATGACATTGCAATTATAAAGCACCCTGGGCTGGGTGCTGTGGCACACGCCTGTAATCCCAGCAGCTTGGGAGGCTGAGGCAGGAGGATTGTGAGTTCAAAGCCAGCCTCAGAAAAAGTGAGGCCCTTAGCAACTCAGTGAGACCCTGTCTCTAAATAAAATACAAGATAGGGCTGGGGATGGGGCTCAGTGGTTGGGTGCCCCTGGGTTTAATCCCTGGTACCCGCACCCTGCAAAATACAATAAAGCGCCCCGGGTCACCAGGCTTCGTTTTAAATGTCTTCTGGGCACAAACCCTCTCCCTTCACAGCAGCCCTGTGCTGCAGGGCGGGGGGCTCGGCTGTCGTCTCCATTTCTGGAGGGGGAAACTGAGGCACAGAGAAGTTGATTAGAGCCTTTTTCAAAGTTCCCAAGATTGAAAAAATTTTGACCTTGTCCTGTGCGTCACTGAGGGGTTCTGGGTGGCAAGTGGGATCCCCTCTTTTCACCCAGAGGGGATCCTCTTTTTCTAGACTAGCAAAGAACCTGCTGCTCAGAGAGGCCAGCACTGGCCGGGGCGGGACGGGCGGGGGGGGGGCGGCGGTGGCCTGGAAGAGGCCGCGCCTGGCCTTGTGTGGTCTGGGTGGATTTGTGGTTGGGTCCCCTGCCGTGGTGGGTGTGCACGTGTGACTGGATTTTAACGGAACGGTCCGTGGTGCTGGGCATGGCAGGTGGGTCCTCTCCCCCGTGGGCAGTGGGTGGCGGTTGTGTTTTAATACTGTGTTTTATAAGGTGCGAATTTAATGAGCCGTTATTTCTGAGCAGCATAAACTCGAGGGACCAGTGCTGTCATTTGGTGCTAAGTGAGTTTGTGCCCTGGGATTAAATGTACCTGCATTTCCTGGTGTTGGCAGGAGCTGCAGGTGTCCAGTGCTCTGAGTTCATCAGGGAAGCCAGCTGGCCCAGGGTCAGCCAGGAGGCTGTGGAGTGAGGCTGTGCTTTACCGTAAAGGGCGTGGCCAGGCCTGCCTTTGAGACTGTCCTCTGGTGGGTCACAAAGCATGTTTTGTGAGTGCAAGGAGATGCGGACTCAGGGATTTCTTTGTGATTCTTTGTGGAGGAGGCGCCCTAGGGAGCTCATGGGCTGCCTGGCCCCGCCTCCCGAGCCGCAGGGTGTGGGCGCCATTCTGAGGGCTGGGGAAGAGCAGGTCACTCTCCAAGATGCGCCAGGCTCTCCTAAAAGACACCAGACGTTGGCACTCAGAACGTAGCCCCAGAGGTCACTGTGACTGTCCCTAACAATGACTTCAGTTTTTTGGCCTGCCACCTGCTTCTACTCTCATGGCATCTGGCCCCCTCAGGACCACAGGAATTTGGAAGATCACACACAGTGGCCGAGCGCGCTCGCTATCCAGCAGGCTGGCCACGCGTGTCTGCCCTCAGCCAAGCGGCCATCGCCAGCTGCCCAGCCTCCCCTGGGCCACACAGCCGTCTGGTGGCCGCCTGCTGGGGTTTAATGAAACCATCGAAGTCACCAGGTCACATCCGTGGGGGCTGTCACCGTCTGTCCACTCATTGTCTCGTTCGATTCTTGGAGTAACTTTGGGGTGTGGGGGAGGGGACCGGCTGGCCCCATTTTACTGAGGAGGACGCTGAGGCACAGGGAGTTGGGCAGCTGGCTCCGCAGGTGGAGCCTAAAGGTGGTGAAACCGAAATCCGGACCTTGGGGTGCGGGGGCCGGCTGAGCCCGCGGCCTCTGCTGCGGCTGTGGTGCGGGATCTTGTTGAGGGTGCACCTGGAGCTGGGGTCGGAGGGGACATGCCGGCTCCTGGGGTGGTTGAGACCCTCAGACCCACCTCTGTCCCCCTCCCTCCTCCCGATGCAGATGAGATGGAGGCAGAGCCAGGGGCCATGCCTTGCCCAAGGCCCCCTGCAGTTGAGGCAGAGCTGGGCCCAGACCCTGGTCCCCTAACCTCAGGTGGCCCTCCTGTGTCACCTTGATCCTGGGCTAAGTTGATTTCACGCAGCGTCTCAGGACCGGGGGCAGATGGGGGGGCTGTAGTGCAGCACACCCACCCAGCAGCACCCCAGGAGGGCTGATGCCCACCTTCCTCCGCCCCATTAGCCCCTCATCTGAGCTGCCCAGCCCAGCCTCACAGGGCTGCAGAAGACTGCGACCTGTACCCTGGAGGACCCCCGCAAGGGCCCCTGTGGGAATCTGGGAGCAGCGCCCCCAACTCACAGTGGCTCCCCGCGGCCCCTCCCTGGGATGACCCCTGTCCCGGGCCCTAGGTGGATCAGCTCAAGCTGAAGGTCAGCCGGCTGGAGGAAGAGTGTACGCTGCTGCGGAGGGCCAGGGGGCCGCTCCCTGGGGCCGAGGAGAAGGACCAGGACAAGGACCAGGACAAGGAGCAGGACGGCGTGGACCTGGTCTCGGAGCTGCGGGCCGAGAACCAGCGGCTGACGGCGTCCTTGCAGGAGCTGCAGGAGGGACTCCAGCAGGTGGGGGCTGGCGCGGGTGGCCTGGGCGGCCCCGGGGAGTGCCCCTGCTGCTCACCTGTCCTCGCGAGGCCTGGACAGCCAAGGGGTTCAGAACCAGGCTCGGAGGTCTGGGTGCAGTCCTGGCCGACCGCCTGACCTGGCCTCTGAGCCCAGGGTCCTTACGGTGCTGCTCGTCCTGCCTGATCACTCTGGGGACTGTGGGGGACCTCCGGAGGGCTCTGAGTCCTGGGACACTGCTCCTGCTGCTGTGTGCGGGCATTTCCTGGGGAGAGGGCCCTGGGCTTCCTGGACTTTGCAGAGGAGTCGGAGACTCTGAAGGTTGAGCCCCCCGAGGCTTTGCTTGGTGTCCCTGGGCAGGTCAGGGCAGCCGGGCCTCGTCCTGGCTCCGGTTCCACATAGAAGTGGGGGTGGGAGCCGGCGCATATCATGGGGCTGGGGTACCTGGCTGGGTGGGTCTTGGGGCTGGATCTGGGGCCCAGGGTCAGCCCCTTGGAGACCCTAGTCAGGGGGAGGGACAGGCCTTGGCTTGTGTGTTTCCCTAGTGATGCCAGGTGGGGGCCAGGGCCCGAGGGAGTGGCCAGGGGTCGTTTCAGGAAGAGGCCCCGGGGAGCTGATCCAAGCTGCTGCACCCGCCTCTGTAGCCCAGATGTCCCTGTGGGCCACGCAGGGCACCTGGTTCAGCTCAGGGCCCCAGGCCAAGGTGGCAGAGCCGGGGTGGGGTCGGGCTGAGGCCCCTTGCCCCCACGCTCACCGTGGGGGCTGCATGCTGGGGCTGCATGCTGAGGGGCCCTGAACTCTGGTCCCCAGGAGGCCAGCCAGCCGGGGGCCCCGGGCTCCGAGCGCATCCTCCTGGACATCCTGGAGCATGACTGGCGGGAGGCGCAGGACAGCAGGCAGGAGTTGTGCCAGAAGCTACACGCCATGCAGGGCGAGCTGCAGTGGGCGGAGCAGCTGCGCGACAAGGTACGCCCCCCTCTGTGCACGCCCGCCTCGCCGCCCTCTGTCGGCGCCTGGCTCCTGGGGTCCTGTCCAGCCGCAGCCTTCCCCAGGCGTCTCTGGGCAGGGGTGAGAGCGCTGCGTCCGTTTGGCTCAGCCATTGACAGGAGACCCTGTGGCACTTGGGACTCTTAGTGAACAGACCCAGGCCCCGCTCCCATGGAGGGGAGTCCTAGCCGGGGAGGGGAGCAGGGGCCACACGTCATCCTGGGGAGTTCTTTCATGTGGCAGGTGGTGACGGGTGCTGGGGGACAGGCAGAGGGGTCCGGCGGCCACAGGTTGCAGTTTCCGTGGAGGCTGAGCTGGCCTGGGGTGTCACCATTATGGTCAGCTCCAGTTCATAGACGAGGCAGCTAAGGCCCAGTGAGGGGAGGCGGGCCGTCGTGGCCAGGGCTCCGGCCTCTCTTCCTGGACCTGTGGAGTGCCTGCTGGTCGGCGTCCCCTGCCCTGGCGCCGTGGCCTGAGCCCGCCCCGCCTGCCCACCTCAGTACCTGCAGGAGGTGGAGGACCTGCGGCTCAAGCACCGCACGCTGCAGAAAGACTGCGACCTGTACAAGCACCGCATGGCCACCGTGCTGGCCCAGCTGGAGGAGATCGAGAAGGAGCGGGACCAGGTGAGGCCCGTCTGCGCTCGCAGGCCCTGGTCCCACGGCTGGTTCTGGCGCCGGGGAGGAGGGGGAGTGGACAGTGCTGGACTTGAGAGGCTGTGAGGGTGTGCTGGTCCCTGTAGGACGGTCAGGTAGGCCACGAGCCAGGGACAAGGGCCGTGCGCACGCTGGAGAGCAAAGCCCTGAGGCGGCAGCAGGTCTGGTGTCCTGGGGCCTAGGAGCCCTCGGAGGCCGAGTGCCCTGGTTGCTCAGGACCCAGGGACCCAAGTCAGCGGCCTCCCTGAGGTCACGTGGCCCGGCAGCTGAGCTGAGCCCTCACACCCTTTGAGTCCGAGGCGGTCCCCAGGCTGCTGCCAGAGCGCGGCTGGGGGTTCCTCCTCATGCCCAGAACCCGCTGCCTCACCTGAGCCCCGGGTCGGTTTAAAAGCTGGTCCTGGTGTCCTACCCGCCTGAATCCCTTGTTCTTTCCATGCCAAGGACAAGGCCAACGCAGAGGAGGTGCCTGCAAGTATTTGCTGATGAAGGAATTCTGAGAAGTTTTGGCCCCCGTCCCTGGGCCCCGCAGCCCCGCCTCCTGTGGAGGCTGTGGGGTGGGCTGAGGCCCCAGGCCCCTGCTGCCTTCTGGAGGCTGGCTCCCCATGCCAGGGGGAGGGTTGGGGGGGGGATGGAGGGTTTTATTTGTGGCCAAGTTTGAGTCCCGTGAAGAGAAGGCTACACGTTAGAATTGCCCCAGATCTGGGGCTTCGTCTTGGGGTGTCCTGATCAGGTGGTCTGGGGTGAGGCCCAGCAATCATATACATCATCAGGCTGCTCCCAGCCCTGGGGCCTCTGTCCCCAACTCCTTCAGAGCCGTAGAGGGGCAGGACCAGGCCATGTGCCCGCCTCTCAGGGACCCTCATCTCCATTGTGGAGGAAAGTGCTTTGGATGGAACGGGGTGGGTTTGGCTCATGGCTCCTGCGCTGATCGGGACTGGGAGCGAAGCCCAGGGCACACAGTAGGACTGCTGGAGACGTTTTGAGTTGGAGTCCAGCTTTGCCGCGGCTGCAGGGTCAGCCCATCTGCAATGATGTAATGATACTGTTCCTGATCCTGTTAGTGAGGGTTAAATGAGCTGATACTTAGCACAGGGCCCAGCACTCAGGCCCGATAGCAGCCGTTCCTGATACCGACCCCTTTCTTGAGGTCGGGGGCGCCTGGAGCGGAGCCAGGGCGGCCCCTCAGTGTTCCCACGCTCTCCCCAGGCCATCCAGAGCCGAGACAGGGTCCAGCTGCAGTACTCACAGAGCCTCATCGAGAAGGACCAGTACCGGAAGCAGGTGCGGGAGCTGGAGGCCGAGCGGGACGAGCTGCTGAGCACGCGCACCAGCCTGGAGGGCGCCAAGGCCCTGCTCGAGGCGCAGCTGCAGCGGACCCAGGGCGGCCCCTGCCTCAAGGTGGGCAGCGGGCGTCCCAGGAAGAAGGCTGGGTGCTGGGGGAGCCTGGGTGGCTCTGGAGCAGGGGGCCCTCAGCTGGGAGGGGCGGGGGTTGGTGAGTGGGATGGGGACGTGGATCTCCGAGTTTTGAGGTCGTTCCTGGGACACCAAGGGTTTGAAGCCTGTCCTTGGGCAGGCCTGGGCAGGCCTGGTGGCTGAGGGCCTCGAGTGTTTTAGGAATGCACCTGGGCTTCAGAGACCCGAGGCCCACGTTAGTCTTGTCTAAGACCAGCTGGCCTGGACCTTCATTGTACAGGACCCAGAGAGGGTTGGGGACTTGCCCAAGCTCACACAGCCAAGTAGCCCCGGAGCCAGCTTCTACCCTTTGTAAATCAGACACTCGTTCCCTGGCTGCCACCGTGCCCCTCCCCATCAGGGTTGCCTATAGATGAGCTCAGTTGAGCCTTGGCTTCCATGCAGTGGGGCCTGGAGGAATAGAAGGAGGCACAGATCTTTGGTTCCTCCCTTGTTAAGACCCTTAGTGGCCTTTTTGCTCTTGGGTAAAGACGAGCTCCTATTGTCAAGAGGCCCTGCAGGTTGGACCCCTCCTTCCCTCTAGTCTGGTTCTCTGGCTCTCAGTGTTTGAATTCCTGGAATGGGTCACAGTCCTGCCTCGGGGCCTTTGCACATGCTTTCTGCCTGCCCGGCCTGTCCTCCCCAGCTCTGCCTACTTAGCACTTACATATCCCTGGTTCTCAGTTCGGCCTGACTTCTGGGGAGCGTTCCGATGCTCTAGACTGGGTGGAGACCCCTTCCTTCTGCTGTCTCACTGCTTGGGTGATTTTGGGGTGATTCCGTTTCTATCTGCTGGTTTGCAATTTGTCTCCCCCTCAAGGCGGCCTGAGGGCCAGTGTCTGCTCCCTGTGCCCCGGCTGTGTCCCTGCCTGGCCCGGTAGATGCCGTGGCGGGCCTGGGCTCCACTGGCTTCCCTCCTCCCCCTCCCTTCCAGGCCTGTGCCTCCTCCCACTCCCTGTGCTCCAACCTCAGCAGCACCTGGAGCCTCAGCGAGTTCCCGTCCCCGCTGGTGGGCCCCGAAGCCGCCGGGGAAGTGGCCTTCAGCGGGGGATCTGAGCCCCACACCTCGGTGAGATGCCCACCTACCCAAACATGGGGGGGACCGAAAATGTCCTAGAGTTGCCGACACAGAGTGGTGTCCAGGCGCCAGCTGCCCACTTCACAGGGAGGACCCAGGCCCCGGGGGGCCAGGAAGCTTCTCTGAGCTCCCCCAGAGCCACGTGTGGTGGCCGAGGCCGGGGCGCCAGGAGAGCGGCTCCTGTGCCCGGGGCTCGTCTGTGGAGTGGCCCCGGCCGGGTGCACTGAGGGCTGGGATGGGGCTGTGGTGGGGTGACCCCGGCCCTGTCCCCGCCTCGCAGGAGGAGGCCACCGACAGCGAGAAGGAGATCAATCGGCTCTCCATCCTGCCCTTCCCGCCCAGCGCCGGCTCCATCCTCCGGCGGCAGCGCGAGGAGGACCCTGAACCCCCTAAGAGGTAAGTGGCAGTGGCCGCCCAGGTTCTGTGGGTGTCCTTTCCTGCACAGACGCCCCCGCAGCCCTAGGGCCAGAGCCAGGTCCAGGTGTCACCTCCCCTAAATGGCTGGAGCTCGGGGACGGAGTCACAGGAGGGCCCAGTCGGGGGTCAGGCTAGACCAGGCCTGGTGGGTGCTGGCCCGTGGGCTCGGGCCCTGGGTTCGTCCCCAGCGCGGCAGGAAGAAAGCAGGCAGAGGGCAGCGTGGGCCGGCCCAGCTCCAGACAGGAAAGTCACCCGAGGGGAAGCCCATGCTCAGGACCAAGGGTGCGAGGGTGTTTCTGGGGGCCACGGGCCTCAGGGAGAAGGCTGTGCCCTGGGGTTGGGCATCAGCAGCAAGGAGGGGCCAGAAAACCTCGGTCACCTCTGCCGGTGGCCCAGACCAAGGGGAGGAGGTTCCTGCCTTCTGGGGTGTGTCCCTCAGCACAGCTGTCCCCCACAGGTGGCCCTTGATCTAGCCCTTTGCCAAGGGAGGTGGGATGGTGGGGGGGTTTGATCTGAGTGAATCACAGGTGTGGAGGAGGGTGGCCTAGTTGGGGGGACACCCTGGGAGCCATGATGACGGGTAGAGAGGGAGGGAGGGAGGGAGTGGTCAGGGGAGGCTTCCAGGAGGAGGTGGCATCTAAGGAGCTGGCCTTGAAGGACAGGCCAGGACATGAACCTCTCGCCCTGTGACTTCAGGGCAGCTGGGTGGCACTGGTGCTGTGCGCCTGGGCCCTTGACTGAGGTCCAGCCTGGATTTGCTTGGGGGTTGAGGGACTTTTGGTGGCTGGGGGGCAGGAGGGGGAGTGGGGAATAGTGCCCACTGAGTCACATCTCCTGTCCCCTCCCCGCCCTCTCTGAGCAGGTCTTTCAGCAGCATGTCGGACATCACAGGTAACAGCCCTGGGCACCCTGGGGCACGGGGAGGGCCATCGTGGGAGGGGCCATGCTGCCCCTGGCCTGTGTCCCCTTTCCGAGGCCGCACTGTGCCCTGGCCAGACAGGAGGCCTGCGTGGGAGGCTCCCGGGCTCTCCGATGCCCAGTCCCGGCCCCTGCTCCTGGGCGCCCCCAGCTCTGAGCCCGCGGGCCGGGCGCTCCCGGGACCTCCACCTGCAAGGTCGCCCCTGAACCTGGGCCGCTCTGCTTCCCAGGCCCAGCCCGACCTTCACTCTCCTTCCCAGGGAGTGTGACGCTCAAGCCCTGGTCCCCCGGCCTCTCTTCGTCCTCCTCCTCTGACAGCGTGTGGCCTTTGGGAAAGCCAGAAGCCCTCCTGGGCCGTGGCTGTGGCCTGGACCTCAACAGGTGGGCAGGGGCCCGGGCTGGGCGTGCGCTGCATGCGGGGGAGCAGGCTGCGCCCCTCTTCTGTGCTTTGTAGCACCCACAGAACCTGGGTTCGAGTCTCGTTCCCACTGCGCTGTCTGCGTGGCTTGAGCACCCCTGTTCCTCCCTGGGCCCCAGTTTCCTCGCTGGTGAAGAGGCACCGTGTTCTGAAGTCTCCAGCTCTGACAGGCACGTAGTAGGTGCTTAGTGAACAGTAGCTCTTCTCGTGAGCGGTCCTTGCCCAGCGGCCCACCTGCCCGTCTTCCCTGCTGAGCTCCGCGTGTCTGAGTCTTCCAGCTGGACTTCTTGCTGCGGGTGGCCTGGGGTTGCTCTGGGAGCCCCGTGGCTGGGGCTGGCCATGAGTCGAAACAGGAGTCACACTGGGCAGGGTGGCACATGCTGGAATCCCAGTGGCTCTGGAGGCTGAGGCAGGAGGATGGAAAGTTTGAAGCCAGCCTCAGCAACTTGGTGAGGCCCCAAGCAACATAGCGAGACCCTGTCTCTAAATAAAATACAAAGAATAGGGCTGGGTGTGACTCCGTGGTTGAGCGCCCCTGCGTTCAATCCCTGGTACCCTGGCCCCCCCCAAAAAAGGAGTCACAAAATGTTGGTGCAGAGTCCAGTTTGGTGACCCCCTATTCTCACTAGCCGGTGGATCTGAGGGGGGAGGGGAGCAGGGGGACCAAGCCTAGAATGCCACCTTTGAACCCAGCCTGGAAGAGCCAGCCTGCAGGGAGAGCAGTGTGGAGACAGCAGAGGCTCAGGGAGGGGCTGGAGTGTGTGGTGACCAGGGAGGACGGGGCGGGGGTGGGGGATAGGGGGTGGGGGGGGATGGGGAGGCCAAGTCTGAGTCAGGCAGGGGCACTGGACTTTGGCTTGTGCGCTCAGGAGGGCCTGGGAGGGCAGGTGTTATGAAGGCAAGGCCAGCGGCGGCTGCTCACAGTGTTCTCTGTCCTGGGAATAGGCATTAGGACTGTCTCTGGATGTAGAGGAGGAAACAGAGGCTCAGAGAGGTTAAGAAACTTGCCCAAGGTCACACAGCTGAGAAGTACCAGGGCCAGGTCCACAGGGACCTGATTGGACTTGGGTTTTGGAAAGGGTTTGAATGCCAGAGCTGGGACATGTGCTGCTGGGCACAGAGGTTCAGGTCACACAGCAAATCAGGGACCAGGGCCTTCCTGCCTCCCGGAGGCCGCTCCGCCAGGCCCCTGTCCAGGCCCCCGCCCCCACCCTCACCAGGGCCACATTGTTCTGCCGGTGCAGGACGCACTGGGCTGTGGGGGGAAGGGGCGGAGGTGCCTCCCTTCCTGCCTGCCTGGCCCTTCCTCCTTCCTCCTGCTCGGCCTGCAGCAGGGGTCCTGGCTGCTGTCCAGGGGGCGCCAGGATGCGAGGGAGCAGGAGGCCCGGCCTGCTGGGCCCTGGGTCACGTGGCCCTCTTTATTGCCTACGCTGTTCCTGGGGGGAGGGGTTGGAGGAAGAGCCAGATGGAAGGGGGGGCAGGGTGGCTGAGGAAGGTGGACAGCACAGAGGCCAGGGGGCCTCACTAATGGAGCCTGGGCTGGGGGGACATCTGTGTCCCAGGACAGTGTCGTGGCGAGGTGGGAAGAAGGGGCTTTGGGGCCAGCTTCAGGGCTCAGATCTCAGCTGTTGGGGTGCTGCTCTGGGGCTCCGGGCAGGTCACTTGATTTCCCAGAGTCACAGTAGTGCTGTCCCCTGGGGCCACGGTGGAGGTTCCTGCATTCTTTCTGCTTGGGACCGTGCTGGCTCAGGGCGGCTGTCCACACCTGTCAGCTCTCAGACGTCCTTGCCCCCAGGTCACACTCTGGGCCCCTCCCTCCTCTGTGCTGGACAGAATGGAGCAGGGGATGGAGGGTGGGGGACTGGGGATGGCTGGGATGGCCAGCCAGGGAGAGAGACAGGAACACTGCAAGAGTGACCTGAGACCAGGCAGAGCCTGCCTCTCCCCTCCTCACGTGGTTCCAGAACCTTCTCCTCACACAGCAAGTTCTCGCAGGTCTTTGCCTCCCTCCAGCGCCTGCCAGCTGAGCCACCCCGTGCAAGTCAGTTTCCCTCCTCTGATGCGGGGTGATGACAGGTGTCGGGGGACTAGATGGAGTGACCTGTGTGACCTGCTTGAGTCTCTGCATTGTGGGTCCCTGAACTGGTACACAGCAGCCCTAGAGACATTCCCACCGTGCTCTGGGGCCACTTGGCCTGTCGCTGCTCGAGCTGGCGACTCACCCCATTCCTGTGTGCCCGTGACCCGACCTCCCGACCTTTTAGGGGAGGAGCTGGGAGCCCTCACCCCGCTGCTGGAGAATCCCCCAGGCGGGGTTGGGGGGGTCGGCCTGGCGGCTGCAATCAGCAGATCCTGCCCCTCTCTCTCCCGGCTCCGGCTCGCTGTGGGAGGCTGGTGCTGGGGGGTCTGAGGGGTCCCTGCTTCCGGCAGCTTCCAGGCCGACTCTGAGGACCCTTGAGAAGCACAGAGAGCAGGTGTCATGCTCTCTGGAGGCTCAGAGAAGTCCCTTGGTCCTCTTGGACCTCAGGAGCTGGCAGGGGGTCGTGGAGAGCTGGTCCTCGGGGAGCAGCGGTGGTGGGCAGGAAGAGCGGGGGGAGCCGAGGGTCAGCCTCGCTGCTGTGCGGGGTCGGGCTGCGCAGGGCCTGGGTGCAGCTGCTTGCTGGGCTGGTGTCTGGGGGCCGTGGTGATGGTCACTGGTGTGTGGGTTTGAAACGGGGGAAGCCGAGGCCAGAGAGGGTGCTTTTTCTGAGTCATACCTGACGACCTTGAAATGCTGCTTTCTCTGGATCTCTTGCCGGGCACTGTCCTAAGAGCGTCCATGCTCTAACTCAGTGTGTTGGAGGAGGTGAGTGGACGCCCAGCATCCGCCGCCTGGCCCCAGCCTGGCCCCAGAGTTCCTGCGTTTCCCTCCAGGGTGCTTCCCTGGAGCTTTTCTGACCACACCCGACACCACCTCAAACAAAAGGGTCCAGAGACAGTAGTTGAGTCTACCTGGGCCCGGAGCCACTCAGCAAGACCTTGTCTCTAAATAAAATATAAAAAACAGGGCTGGGGTGGGGCTCATGGCTGAGCACCCCAGGTTCAATCCCTGGTACAAAACCAAACCGAACAAACAAGACAGAGCTCAGCTGGCCGGGTCTGCAGCCCCCGAGGCCCAGGCCTGCGTGGCCCTCTGTTCCCTGCGGTGTCTTTGTGTTCATCTGCGCCCCCCCCCACAGGGCACAGGGGAGTCGTGGTCATTCTTGTTTCGTGGATGCGGTCACTGACCTTCAAGGAGTGGCTCCTTTGCCTAAGTCTGGGGCCCAGGTGACCCTGGGGTTGGCAGCCAGACTGTTGCGCCAGCCACTGGCCAGGCCAGGTCTCAGGCCTCCCAGGTCTGTCATGTCACCCGCGCAGCCTGTGGCTGCCTGCCCGCCCGACCTCAGGCCTGGCTCTCTGCTTTGAGGAGGCAGGGCAGGGACCTGCTCCTGGCACGAAGCTTCCTGCTCCCCAGGGGTGCCGGCTGGGTTAGGGTCCTGGCAGCAGGGGGCAGAGCAGCTGCATGCATGTGGCAGTGGCCAGGGTTCTGACCCTAGCCTCACCCCCTCTATGGCCAGGGTTGCATGGAAGGGCTTCGGTGAGTTTGTCACTGAGCTTTGCTAAGAGCTTCCCAGTTCTCCAGGGACAGGCAGGACCCTGGCACATGGGGATCTTGGCTGCGCTGTCGAGGAAGGCCAATGCCCCCATTCCGCGCCTCCCCGGGCTGGCTTCTGCTTCTTTTCTGGGAGCCGTTTCCCAGGATGCTTTATTAGTACTTAGGGCAAGGAGCCCAGCCTGGTGGCTGGCCACGGGCAGCTCCGCTCTTGTCCTTGTTGAATCTGCCACGCAGTCTGTCCTCTGTCCTCCACGCTCTGCCTGGACCTCCGTCTCCTCTCCGTCTGTCTCCGAAGTCTTCGTCTCTGTTCCTCACCAGGGTGCAGCCCAGGTACTTCTTCCCCTGGAAGCCTCCCCGTCCCTGTGCTTCCGAGCGGCTGGAGCCATCCTCTGATCTGTGTTGTCTAGCTGCGCCCCTCCCGGACTGTGAGCATGACCAGCACTGATTAGTCATCCGCTGCGTGCCAGACCCAGGGCTGGTGCTGGGGAGTCAGGCTGCCTGGCTCTGCGGCTGAAAGCCTTCTTTTGATGGATGTAAGAAAAGAAAGTGCTAAACCGCATCATGGGCAGAGGGCGTGCTGCAGGGGCTCTGGAGGGACTGTTTTGACTGAGCTCTGAAGGACAGCAGAGGGGGAAGGGCATTCCAAGCAGAGGGCACTGCAAGTGCCACCGCCGGGGGCGCGACCATGGCCTGCTGTGGGGAGGAAGCAGTGCCTTCTCTACGGAACCTGAGCTGTACCAAAGCACTGCTGGACGGTAATTCCCATCCCCCTTCTCCCTTTTCAGGTCTCTGGCCATCCGAGTGTCTGGCTGGAGCCCCCCAGGAGGCCCGGAGGCCCAGGACAAGGGTTCAGATGGTCTGTCGTTTCTTGGAGACCGATGGTCTGGGGCGGTGGTACGGAGGGTGCTGTCGGGGCCCGGGTCGGCCAGGACAGAACCCAGAGAGGTGAGGCTCCTCCCCTGGAGCTGGGGGCGGGGTCAGTGTGGTAATCAGGGCTGGATGCTGATTGGTGGAGCAGGATCACTGGGTGGAGCTCCAGGGTATTAGCTGAAGCTGAAGCAGGCTCGGTGACTGTCCTGCCTCAGCAGTGGCATGCACATGTAATCCCAGCCACTCAGGAGGCTGAGGCAGGAGGATCTCAGCTCCAAGGTCACCCTAGCAAGTTAGTGAGACTCGGTCTCAAAAAAATAAAAATAAAAAAGTTTGCACCGAGATCGAGATTGGGGATGTAGCTCCGTGGTAGAGACTTGCCTGTCATGTGGGAGGCTCTTGGTGCTACACCCAGTACCGCCAAAAATAAATAAATAAAAATCTGACTGGGTGGGAGCTGGGAGGCGGGGCAGACTGAGGCACATTGACAGATTCCCGCCTTTAAAATCTCTTCCCAGCTGAAGGCCGAGGCCACTGGCCTGGAGGGGGCTGGCCTTGACCCCGAAACCCAGCAGAGAACCTTGCCGTGGAATCCGGCATCCACACTCCCCTTCCTGCTGGATTCCACGGGTAAGCCTGGCCTGGGGAGGGCCTGGGACACACCCTCCTAGAAGGTGACCGCGTGGGGCCCAAGGGAGAGCTCCTCCAGCCTGGTGCAGGTGGGGAAGGAAGGGCTGAGAGGGAGCGTCCCCCTGTCTCCTCCTCCTGGCGTGCTGTGGCCTCTTTTTGTCAGCTCTGGGCCCTTTTCTGGCCTCTCCTTGGTCACATCTTAACTGTGAGGGGAGCACTGTGTTAGGAGTCCAGAGGTCTGGGTTGGGGTCCTGGCTGGCCTGGGGCAGCCCCTTCGCCCTCTCTCACTTGAGGAAGGAAGGTGGGGTCCTGGCAGCTCGACCATCGGAGGGCTGGGTCCCCCAGGCTGCTCCCTGACCTTACCGTCTTCCTCTTGTCCCCTGCTGCACCTGCCCCATCCATCCAGCCTGCCAGTCCTTCCACGAAGCCCTTGACACCTGGGTGAAGGGGCCTGGGGCCGAGCCTTTCTACATTCGAGCCAACCTCGCCCTGCCCGAGCGCGCAGATCCCCACGCCCTCTGTGTGAAAGCCCAGGAGATCCTGCGGCTGGTGGACCCAGCGCACAAGCGGCGGCGGGAGTGGTTCTGCACCCGGGTGGACCCCGTCACTCTGCGGGACCTGGACCGGGGCACTGTGCCCAATTATCAGAGGTGATGCAGAGCAGGGAGCCTGGGCATGGGGTCCACTAGCGGCCAGGACCAGGACGGGGCTGCCTTTCCTTCTGCGGTGTCTCACCATCCTCTGGGATGGGATGGGGCTGGACAAGAGGAGTGAGGGGCTTGCTTGTCCCTACAAGTGCATGACAGGTCTCCTTCCCACAGAGCCCAGCAGCTCCTAGAAGTTCAGGAAAAATGTCTGTCCTCCAGCCGGCACCGAAGTCCCCGCAGTAATGTAAGCAGGTCTGGGTGGGCAGGGAAACGGCCCGGGGAGAGCAGGACAAGGCTGGGGTCCAAAGGGAGGGGCAGGCTCATGTTCTGGCAGCTCTGGGGGAGAGCAAGGAGAAGGCCCCCTGCAGCCCTTCCTGTGACTTAGCTGATCTTCTACTATGTGCCCAGCAAACAGGAAAACAATGTCACCGTCCAGGATGGTTGAGAGATTAGACTGAGTGTGCCAGGGCCCGGGAGCATGTGGGGTATACAGCAGGCATCTGGCCAGGGCTGGGCTGGGCCACCATCTTCATTGTGTCTGTGGGTAAATTGAGAGGAGCAGGGAGAAGCCAATGGAGAGGGGCCTGGGCTCAGCTTGGCTCTGGGAAGATGGTGACTTTGGACATCACCCGAACCTTGTCCTCGCTGCTGCTCCAGCCCCAGCCCCGAGGCAGCTTTCCTTATCTGTGAAGGGGACATGGCTCTCCCTGCCTCCTAGACAGCCTGTGGCCCCAGATTCCTGCACACCGGAGCCCGGGGCTACCCTGTTGCAGGCAGTCCCCACTCGTTAGGTGGCCGTGTAATTAGTGTCCTTGGTTTTGTTAATCCATGTCACCTTGCTGATTCATTGGAAGAGAGACCAAAGCTCGACTCTTCTGTGACATGAGGTTCCTCCAGGTCTCTGGGCCTTGGTTTCCTCATCTGTAAAGTGGGGGTGCACCCCAGGCACCTCTAGCAGGCTCTGCTGGTTTGCTTCTCAGTCTCCCCCCGCTGGGGGGCTGTGCTGGCCGTGGGATCTGCTCTGCCCGGGGTCCTTTCCACTCTCCTCTCTCCCTACGTTGGGATGGAGGTGACTCTCTCTTTATGTCCTCTCAGCTGAAGAAGCGAGCACTTGGGCTGGTGAGACCCAAGCCCGTGGGGGGTCCTACAGGGGATTCCCCAGAGCAGCTGCTGCTGGAGCCCTGCTCAGGTGAGTGCCGCTGGGAAGGTGTGTCCCGTGTCATTCCCTGTGGCCAGGAGTGTGTGCATTTATGTGTCCTTTGGCTACGGTGGTCCTTTGGTCTGGAAAGGCTTATTGTGAGTGAGCTTGGGAGACGGGGCTCCCCCTGGTGGTGAGTAGGCCAAGTTGCCTGTGGGTCATCTGTGGGCAGGTGCCGTGGGCGTGGCTGTGACTGTGACTTTGGGGCTGCTCTTGTCTGCTGTAGTGTTGCTTCTCACACATGGTGGCAGGTGCCAGGAGGACTCTAGGGGGGTCCTGGAGGCAGCATAGTGAGGCCATTGGCCAGAGCAGGGAGAAGGAGTGAGGGAGCCCAGATGAGAGTAGCGTTCGAGGGAGGGACAGGGGTGGCTGGGGGACTTTTGGAAGAGACTGTTTTCAGCTGAGGCCTTCAAGGGTGCAGAGGGGTCAGCTCCAGGCAGAGGGCGCCGCTCACTTAGAGGCGGAGACAGGGTTGCGCTTGGTGTATTTGGAGGATGAGTGGGTTCCGAACCCAGCAAGTAGGTATCGTGCATCTGCTCTGTAAGGTGTGTGGGTTCCAGGGGACATGGTGGTCCTCTGCATGGGGTCCCTGTCTGGGGAGAGGCAGATGCTTCCAGCTGTTCACAATGCAGACACGGATAGAAAGCATGACGTGTGTGACACAGGAGAGCCGGGTGTGGTAGAAACATGACAGGGACCCCCCCCATCTAGGGACCAGGGGAGGTGTGGCCTGGCTCTGGGGGCAGTGAGGGTTACCTGGGTGCAGGGGCAGGGCCTCGGGTGGCCACAGGGCCTGCAGAAGCCCTGGGATTGGAGGTGTCTGAAGGCAGTGGCCAGGCAGGGCTGCAGTCTCTCCTGCAGGACTATGTCACCTGTGCAGAGGATGTGACCTTTGCCCTGGGGATCTGGGAAGTCACTGGTGCCTGGCAACCAGGGAGTCATGTGAACTTACATTCTTTCCAAGCCTCTCTGACTGCTGAGTGGAAAGTGACCTCCAGGGGGCAGGGGTGAGGCAGAGGATCCGTGGGGAGCCTGTTGTAATGGTCCCAGCAAGAGGGGCCAGCCTGCAGTGTCAGGTGTGTGCGTGTGCGTGTGTGTCTGGGGACCTGTGGGAGCAGCAGCAGGACCCAGGAAGGGAAGGCAGAAGGTGGCCGAGGAGGTGAAGTTATTTTGAGTGTCAAGGGAAGCAAGAGCTGGGACCCTGCCCGGACTCTCATCTCTTGTGGGTCCCGTCCTGCCTCAGAGCCCGAGCGGAGCCTCAAACCCTACAGCCTGGTGCGGCCGCTGCTGGTGTCCGCCCTCCGGCCTGTGGTGCTGCTGCCCGAGTGCCTGGCGCCCCGGCTCATCCGCAATCTCCTAGACCTGCCCAGCTCCCGGCTGGACTTCCAAGTGTGCCCAGCAGGTGAGCCTGTGACCTGGGAGGGGAGGCTGGGGAACAGTAGCACAGCCAGTCTACCCCATCCTCATCCACCCGGAGGACAGCCAGGCCTGTGGCCCTGCAACATCCTGTCCCTCTCCCTCTGCAGAGAGCCTCTCTGGGGAGGAGCAGTGTGCACCCTCAGCGCCGGGGGCCCCTAAGTCCCGGCCTGCCACCCCCGGGCTGGGCACCAGGATCCGAGCCATCCAGGAGTCTGTTGGGAAGGTAGGTGCTGGGCTTCCGTCCTGGGCCCACAAGCTAGCGTCGGAGCCACCTCCTGCATCCTCAGTGTCCTCACCTGTGACGTGGGTGGGTTGGGGCCGTTGCCCTCATATGGGTTACCCTGAACGTGATGAGTTGGGACATCTCATCTGCTCGTCCTTGTTCTTGAACTTTCTGCCACCCTGGGAGATGGCCAGGACTCCAGGGTGGTGGGTGAGGTGGGGTTAACTGCAACCTGCAGATGAGGTGGCCCAGGTCACGTGGGGAGGGGACCTTCCTCCAGGTCACCAGCGAGCTCAGGTCTTCAGTCTCCCTTCTTTGTAGGGTCCCTCTGGGTGAGACGGAGTTTGTGCACCGGGGAGGCTGTGCTGGGGTGGTGGGTGTAGCGGGGCCCTGGTGTCCCTGGGCTCTGGTAAACGTGGTCTCTCTCCACCGGGAAGAAGCACTGCCTGTTGGAGCTGGGCGCGCGGGGCGTGCGGGAGCTGGTTCAGAGCGAGGTCTACCCCATCGTGATCCACGTGGAGGTGACCGAGAAGAATGTCCGGGAAGTCAGGTGCGGTGGTGTGGGGTGCCCTCTCCATGGATGTCTCTCTGTCTCCACCTCTGTCTGTCTCTCTGTCTGCCTCCCTTTGTCCATCTTCTCTGACTCTTCGGGTCTTGGTTCACTGAGGGAGAGCCTCTGACCACTGTCCTTCATCCTCTCTCGACAGGGGCCTGCTGGGCCGACCCGGCTGGCGGGACTCGGAGCTGCTGCGGCAGTGTCGTGGCTCGGAGCAGGTGCTCTGGGGGCTGCCCTGCTCCTGGGCGCAGGTGCCCGCGCACGCCTGGAGCCACGCCGAGGAGCTGGCCAAGGTGGTGCGTGGCCGCATCCTGCAGGAGCAGGCGCGCCTCGTGTGGGTGGAGCTGGGCAGTGGCCGCTGTGGCGGTGGCAGCAGCAGCAGCGAGGCCTGAGGCCGTCACTGTCCGGGCCTCCTCCCACCTTGCGGAGGCTGCCAGCGGCTGGACCCCGCGCCTGCGGTGGACTTGGCCCTCTCCATCCTGAGCCTTCCTCGATCCTGGACTCTGATGAGGGGCCTTGGCTTTGGGTTCTGACCTGAGTTTGTCACCACCTGTGCCGAGCCTGTGGGAGCCTGGGGGATAGAGCTTCCACTGCCCTGAACCTGCTGCTGTGGGCCTTCCCGTCTGTCCCTGTGTCCCCACTCACGGGTCTCGTGTGTGTCTTGTGTCGTAAACACCTGCCTGGAGTCTGGGTCTTGCCCCTGTGCGTGGGTTTGCACAGCCAGGTTCTCACCGGGCAGATTCTGTCCCTCCCCCAGGAACACGGGGTATCTGGTCCTCAGCCTGCTCAGCTTGCAGGATGGCCAAGCTGCCGCCACATGACTCCAACCTGTCCAGCTCAGTCTTGACGTGGCCACACATGGACATGTGCCCCCTCCCCCCGTTCCACTCACTGTACCCCTTGTGTCTCCTTGCGTGTGTCTCTGGTTCTCTCCTGTGTAAATGTCATGTCCCACCCCTGTGACACTTGGGCACTAACGTGTGTTCTTGCACACCCAGGACCATGTTCTCACAGCTGCCCCCTGCCCCCGCCCGCCTCTCTGAGGGCTGGGGGAGGGGCAGCTGCTCTGCCACAGAATGTACAGCCCGTGCATCGCCACTGGGCCCTTGTCACTGAGAAGCTGCACATTAAGGAACATTAAACACTGTCATAGACTGGTGGCCTCCTGCCTGTACCCTGCCTGGGCCCCTCTCCGCTCTTTGCCTTTGTCCTCACCTCCAGCACAGGCTGATTCCACCTTTCAGGTCCCCGCTCGCCAGTGGGGAGGGTCATATTTCCCTCCTGACTCATCCCAGAGCCGCTGGCCATCTGTGCTGGCATCACCTTACCTGCCCCAAGTGACGGGCGGAGGGCCCCGCAGTCGGGCCACCCCAGCACCCAGCCCTGCCCGGCCTTTCAGAGGAGTGTCCTCTGGAGCTGGGGCACCGAAGCCCATGGGGTGCAGACCTGGGGGTCCAGCTGCTGAGTCTGGGAGGGCAGGAGCAGGCCCTGGGTGTGTGGTCAGGTCCCTGGGGCAGCTGTGCCCAGTCACCTCCAGGGGGCAGCCCGGGCCGACTGGAGCAGCACCGTGGGCACCGAGGGCTGGGACTCCTGTGGTTGAGAGGCACTTGTTGGGCCTCTGTGCCTTCGTGCAGGCGGCCATCTTGGGTCCCAGCAGTGAACTTGGTCAGGCCCCTGGAGGATCTGGAGAGAGTAGGTGTACTGACCGGTTGGGGACAGAAAATGGGTTGAGAGTGACCACCCTGGGGGAAGGGGGCTGGGGGTGCGGCTGGGGCTGGCAGTGCCCAGGTCTAGAGGAGGGGAGAGGGCTCTTTGAAACTCCGGGGGGCAGCTCTGGGCCCCATATTTGGCCGCTGGGGAAAATGTTCCTGGGCTTAAAAGGGATCTGGGCTGAAGATGTGGGGGCAGGGCGTGGGCAGGGGAGCAGGGAGGCTGAGGGGACGAGGGCACCTGAGTGAGGGACCAAGCCCCTTCCTCAGTGGGAACAAGAGGAGAAAAGGAGAGGATGCAGGGAAGGAGGTGGTTGAGGGCCCCAAATGGGACCAGGGGGACGAGGGGATTGCCAGGGAGGGAGGGAGGGAGGGCGAGGATGTTCTTTCCCAGGATGGAGCTGGGGCAGAGCAATGTGTTTGGTTGCCGTACCCAGCTCCTGAACTAGCTCCTGTACTCACCAGCCGGGGGGTCCCCCAGCAACTGCCACATCCTCTGCAGGCCGTGGCCCTTGTCCCCGTAGGGTCTGCTGATGCCCTATGTGGGGATGGCAGGCTGGGAGGGGGCTGTGTGTGGCTCGGCAGAACTGTGGCTTAAGGAGCCTCAGCTTTTCCATCCTCCCTAAGAAAGTAGGTGCAGGTTGGGACGGCAGGGGACAGGGGGGCCTTGACTGGGAGCTTGAGGTCCCCCAGCCAGTCACCAGGGTGGAGTTGGACCCTGAGGTGTCCAGTGCCAGTCCAGGCTGCCTCTGGTGGAGTCCCCCTCCTGTCCCTCCAGCCACCCTCCCCGTTGGGCAGTGGCCTCTGAATCTGCCTCTAGCCACACTCTTGGGGCGCTTTTGCTCACGCTTGGCCATGCCTGAGCTGGCATGTGCTCTGTGGATTTTGTTTTAAGGACGGGGAGCCAGTGCAGGGTTGGGGCAGAGGAAGGAGGTGTGAATGGCCTAGTGTCAAGGAAGACACACGTGTGGCTGGAGGAGGCCCCTGTTGGCTGGGCTGGCTGGGTGAGGCAGCTGTAGAGCCTGCCAAGGGTGATCGGGAGGGCCACGGCTGGATAGGTGCCCTCAGGGGTCTCTTTCGGGGCCAGATGAGGACACGGGACCAGGCTTCCACCCAATTCTGGGCCAGACTGGCTGGATCATCTCATGTCACCCTGTGCCTCAGCTATAAACTGGGTGTGTCCCAATGCAGTTGTGAAGTCCAAAGGAACCGAGAAAACTTCTGTGGGAGTCCCAGGAATTGGGAGGGGCCACCATGGAAGGGTTCCTGGAGGAGGGACCCCCGGAGCTGAGCTTGAAGCGCAAACAGAATTTGGCCTGGAGGAGAGGAGAGGACGCGGGATGGGGAGAGCATCCAGGAGACACTGAGCCAGAGCCGAGAGGCCGCGACGCTGGAAAGTAACGGGCGCTCGCTGCTGGAGCCACGCCGGCCGGTCTCGGGGGAGTGGCGTGGCTGGAGGGCCCCTGCCTCCCACCGGGCACGGACGGTTGGCTCTTGCCGCCGCCCCCGCCCCAGCAGCTGGCAGGGCGAGGGCTGCCCCCGGGCGGCTGCGTCCCGCTCTGCCACCTCTGCGCCCGGCCTGGCTCCGCCCCTCGGCCGGGCGGGGCGGGGCCGGCGAGCGCCGCTGAGCAGGTGGAGGGTGGCGGCGGGTGGGGCAGCCGCGGCTCAGGCGCCGGGGCGGGAGCTCCAGCTCCACGTCCCCGCTCCCTGTGCGCCCCGATGCCTGCCCTACTCGTGCCCCTGCCAGGGCCCCCGCCTGACCAGTCTCCGGTCCGGGACTGGTTGGGACTTGGGAGCTGAGCCGTCCGGCCGCTGTGCCCATGCAGTGCCGGCTGCTCCGGGGCCTGGCCGGAGCCCTCCTCACCCTCCTGTGCATGGGGCTTCTGTCCCTACGGTACCAGTCACGCCCGCCCCCCCAGGGAGTGCAGCAGCCCCCCAGGCTGAGCCGGCCCAGCCCCGCGCCCCGCGAGCTGCGCCTGCAGGACGTCTTCATCGCCGTCAAGACCACCCGGGCCTTCCACCGCTCGCGCCTGGACCTGCTGCTCGACACGTGGGTCTCCAGGATCAGGCAACAGGTGATGAGTGGGCCAGTTCGCGCCATGGAGTTTGGGGCCGGAGGGACTCTGGAGGTCTTCCCGCTGGGCTGGGATCTCTGGCTGGCTGAAGCAGAAGCTGCTGTCGTCCAGCCATCGGGGCCCATCGCCCCATCCTTCCGCCCGGCCCACGCTGTCACTGACACGGCGTCCAGTTCCTCAGATCCTCTGTTAGTGGCCAAGCTGCCCCAGGCCCCCGGTCCCTCCTGGGCTCTCTCTGTTCCCTGGCTGCCCCCCAGCGGGGGCCTTACTCCTCCCCAGCTTGGCCCAGCCTGGCCGCAGGGACCATAGAGGGTGCTGGGCCAGTGGGGTGGCGGCTTCTGAGAGGTCCTGACTCAGAGGCCCTCCCAAGGGTCCTGTGCCAACCCCGGACTAGGAACTGCCCTGCCCAGGCTCTGGGGTGGAGGGTGGAGGGAGGCCCTAGGTGGGGCCTGTTCCTGGAGGCGCCCTTTCGGGCTTCCTCAGCCCCTGCGGCTGCATGTGTGCGTCTTGTGTCTCGCGCTGGTTTCCTGTGGTTGTCCTGGGAGGCTGTCGCTGAGGCAGAGGAGGGCGAGAGGTTGGGGTGTGTGCGTGCACACTTGTGCTCACATGTGCGGAGCCCAAGTGTGTTCGACATGCAGTGACAAGAGGTGTGTGGGTGACCTGGGCACGTGGCTGGTGCCCTTTAGGGGAGGCACCTCTGACCATCTGAATCTCTCCCAGCCTGTCCTGTCCCCGCGGTCAGTACTCTCCTCAAGCAAAGCCAGGGATCTGGGGCTGTTGGGGACCGTCTCTGGGGAGGCCCAGGGTGGATTCACACACACCACCCCCACTGTGGTGGCTGCTCTGCGGGAGGAAGTGACTGAGCCCTTGGAGGGGAGCCCAAGGAAAGGCACAGTAAGGTCTGAGAGGCCAGGGACCCCAGGGAGGGCACACCCCTGCCCCGATTTCCTGGCACTGATGTCTTTGCGCCAGGATTGACCCTTCCCAGCAGGGCCCCCAGCATCCCTGGGCCCCGCCAGATTCTCATCTTGGGGAGATCTGGTTCCGCCTGCGGAAGCCGCCAAGACTGGCCCTCCCTGCAGACCTTCCTGTTTATGGCGCGGTGTCTGTGGACCCGGGAGTGTGCCTCACGTGGCTTGAGGCCCTTTCCTGTCTTGTCCTGTTCACCATGGTGGTGCCCCCAGATGAGGAAACTGAGGCTAGAGGAGGAAGTGCTGGCCAGTGTCACCCAGGGGTCTGAGGGGGCAGAGCCCAGCGGGACCCAGGTCTCACCTCTCCTTGCACCTTCAGCCTGGGGGCTGTGCCTGGCAGTGCCAGCCTGGCTACAGTGGCCCCGTCCCAGGCTCTATCCCAGATGCTGATCAGGCAGCTCCTGAGGGCTGCACTGTGCCCATGGCTCTGCTTCCCTCACACCACCTGAGGGCTGGGTGTCCATGCTCCCAGGTGGCAGGTGGGGAAGCTGATCCAAGCTAAGCAGAGTCCCGGGATGAGCTCACTCAGTGGACCCCAGAGCGGGGAGCAGAAGTCATATTTAAGTTGAAAGAGGCCCACCCTGGACGTCGGTTCTCTCTCACCTTGGGTTCCTCTCTCCCTCTGACCTTGGCCGAGGCCCTCCCCACCTGCGCAGCACAGGGGCATCCGGAAGGGGCCTGAGCTGGCCAACTCCAGCGCTAGGCGCCGGCTGGTTAGAGGTGGTGGGGTGGCAGGTGGGCCCTTGTGGCTTGTGTGGGAGCCTTTGTCCTGCGGAGGGGCGGGCGGGGGAGGCGGGCCTTGTGTGTTTTGTGCTTGAGGGGAGCCTTTCTCTCCCCCACAGGCCCCTTTTTCTGTGTGTGTGTGTGTGTGTGTGTGTGTAGGGGTCGGGGAGGTGGCAGCAACCCTACATCTCCCTTCCTGCAGCAGATGGTCCCCCTGCGCCCCTCCCTGCCCCGTGGGCTGCTGGTCTTTTGTTTCTCTGCCTGTGAAGTCTTAACCATTGTCAGGTCCCCTGTTAAACAAATCAAACAGCTTCTGGCTCAGAGGAAATTCTGCCCACTGTTCTCCTCTGCCAGCCTTGGAGTTCCCAGGGGCGGGGACCACCAGCTCCTGCGCCCTCTCCTGCTCCCGGAACGCCTGCTCATCCCACCTGCTCATCCCTCTTGCCTGTGTTTTCTACTTCTTCAGCGACCAGCCGTCCCTAACCCGCTTGGTCCATCCTCTCCAGTGTGCTGCTTGGTGTGCCAGGGAGCAGGGCAAGAGTCCTGGCTTCTGTTACAGACCCCTTGGGGGCAGTGTGGCAATCAGACGTGGGTGGGGGCATTCAGAGCAGGAGACCAGGGGAGATGCCCGCAGGAGGTCATGCCCATGAGCTGGACCAGGGCTGGTCTTGGAGAG